AGCCATAAGTTTAGCAGCAACTGCATTCCCAACAACAGCAGAGAGATTCGGAGCAATATATCCTATTCGACTCTGGACAAAATGCACAAGCTTTTCCTTTGCTGAATCAAGAGCAAGGACTCTATCACATGCTTCTATTATCTTTCCAAGTCGCCAACAAGAGAAAACCGTGATGATAGCTGAGGGTAGAAATCCTTCCAAGTCGCTGGCAAGAGTAGTGATATCCCTCTCCTGGCCAATTTTTTTAACAGCCCGGGCATAATCAATAGGGTGATGAACAAGTGACTCTAACTCTGGAACTCTCAATTGATACTTGTCGCGTATGAAATTGTGAATTAAAGCAATTTCATTCTCAATGTCAACTGATAACACAGTGCAGTCTATTATCAACTGCTGATCATATTCTGGATCATCAACGCCACCTGATTTAGGTTTATCATCAGATTCAATTAGTGCAGCTTCAACTTTCTGCATCATCAGAATGTAGCGACGTGATTTTCGCAGCTTGAAAGAGTTATCTAGGTCATCATAATTAAGCGCCGCACGCAGCAGATTCTTTTCATGATCGGACAATCCGTCAAGATCATCCAGGAAAGAAGCATCACCAGTTGCCATTAATGGGGATGAAATTTCGAGCACGATGGGTCGGATTCTATTCTGGAGAGAAGAAAACAGAAATTAGGTTTTGAAGAAGGAATCCGATTTCGAAGATATATATATTGGAACGTTTGTGCAATTATCCTATCCTAATGTAAATAGAAAACGGAAATAAGTATCCTTTGTAAATTATGAAACACACATTCCTACTCCTAACTTAAATAAAAGAGTTAAATGTCATAAACATCTCCTGACGTTCCGCAACGCAAAATTGATGTAGTGTTCATATGTGTCAGTTATTGTATAGAATCAAAACTCATAAAATAAAATAGTGAATAATTAATCTGCAAAAGACATAAAATTGCCGCTACCTAATCTGTTCTCTTTTGCAAAAAAGATGTTTAATCTTATTCTTTTCTGTTAGAGAAAATATTCATAAAATCAATTAATTAGAAGAGCTTAATATTAGAAATGGCACGTTGTTAAATTATATTTTATTTATATTAATGAAAAAAGGTAAAAAGAATGTTACGAGAAAAATAAAAAAATTTGAGAAGAGATCTCTCAAATTATCCCTAAATAAATTTAAAAAAAAAAAGGTTTCGGGCTACTTTCGTGATACGCTTAATACGTATTGGCGACAAACTATTTATCAAAATACCCCACAAAATTTACAATTTGATAATGTATAATATTTCGAATGTCCTTAACGTTGAATAAATAATCAAGATTACTAACTAGAATTGTCACAATTCTTCTATTTTTTCTTTCTTTTCGATTTAGATCTTCACTAGTATTTTCAATAGGACAAAAACTGCCAATTGATTTATTTAACTCACACCTGCATTCGAACTCCTTCTTAAACAACATAGAATTAAACCATCATATTTTCGGGCAAGTCACACACACACACACACATATATA